GATGTAAAGATGAAAACTATACAGCATAATAATACTAACTTCATTTATATTGACAATAATGTCAATGAAAACCATCACAATGAGAAAGATCAGGATGAAAATAGTAGCAAAAGATATGCTTTCTCTGACCTGTATAACCGACATACGCTCATAATCTAAATATTTTCTCTTCTTTTCCCTCAAAAATATCTTTACATTTATTGTAATGGTATAAAATGATAAGGCGCCATTGATATGCTAGTTTATTAACTTATATTTACACCTTTTATGAACATGAGCTAAACCAAACTATGTCTATCCATATTGAGGAGTGGGTGTATAGGGGCGTGGTGTGGCATCACCTTCGTAGGTGACATCGGCCACATAACCGGAGTCGCCGTTGACAGTGTAGGTGACCCTCTGAAGACGACCATCGGGAAGGAGGACGAAGTAGGAACCCTGAGTGTTAGGGCCATCTCGGGCCTCCTGATGACCGAAGTCGTTGCCAGATGTTGGGTCGTTTACGGCGTAGTTGAAGTCGTACTTGGCCGGCCCTGCTGAGGGTGTTGTGGCGCCATATCCATAGGACGGTGTGTTTTCAGGTCGGGCGAAGGCAACTGGCCACAAGGATGGCGAGTATAATTACCTATAGTATAGGAATATCTTTTGAAAATATATATAATAAAATCTGGATATAATCTCTAGAACAGTTATATGTTTGGATTTCAAACAAAAGTTGTATCCATTGTAGAAGTATTCACAGTGACATGTCTACCACGCAAAATTGCCTTATGGTATCTTACCTTAAGTGCCATGCTGCGTGACGATGAGAGATTATCTGATGCAGTGAATATGAGTAAGTCTGTTTAAATAGATGGAGCAAGTAAAGCTCCTCCCTAATGATGAGCATGAAGAGTGTTGTTGTGGGTAGAGCGATGTATTAACTTTCCCCTTGATAATTTTAACCACAAAAGTTAAAGACCTAATTGTGGATTTTTATCGCACACACACATGTGCACAAACATATGTTTGTGTATATATACAGTATATATATACTTATACATACACACTCTGTATATATATTAACACACATAAATTTATGTGTGTAGGTGTATAGACGTATGTGAACACTCAAATACACAAACATACATGCATACATATATGTTCTTTATACAGAAAGATGTGACTGTGCGGTTTATATAAATACGTACCCACATCCGCACACACAGATACATAGATAAACATATATACAGTATATAGGTATATATATGTATATATATACACACATGCGTATGTGTTTATGGGTACATATACATGTATATACATTTACACGTGCTTGTCTGTGAGTATATATATATATATATACACACACACACACACACACACACGTGCATGTGTTTGTGAGTATATATATATTTGTAAGCATATATCTATATATGTATAAATACACAAATATATGTGGACTGAGAGAAATTTTTCGCTGTATGCATCTCCAACGGTTTAGTGACATTAAACGAGTCTCTACAGGATATATAAAATGACTTTCTTCTTACCTTCAGATTTGTTATACCTTTAAGCGGGCTAATGTCCCAATACTTGCAGAAACTTCCTTCACTTATTTTTCATATATTTTTTTTTCACCTCTGTTGGTAAACATCAGCATAAAAAACTCACTACTCATTAAAATGGTAAGATTTCCCTGCGTAATAACAATGAGATTTGGTCTCTTGACTTTTTTTTTTTTTTTTTTTTTTTTTTTTTTGATTTTGTTGACAAGGGAAGCCGTAAGTGTGTCCTACATATGACATATTCAACAGTACCCTCTGGCTCATGATTATGCTGTCATTCGGTCGTGTATATCCCGATTCCTCTAGTCACACAGTCATGCATATTTCTCTTGGTCGAGTTTGTCTTTCTGAACTAATTATGGATACTTACATCAGCCTTACAGCATTTCTACAGTTTGACTGTTGTCTTTCTAGGCTTTCTCGATTTTGGCCTTCACAGGTGTGGATTTGTCTCTGTTTCCGGTTGCTATCACTTTTCCTTAACTGTTTCTACCTTTAATCTCCAATAACGACATTAATAACAATTACAATTCTTATTATCCTTATATTCGTTATGTTACCATTTAGAATATCTATACAGATCTTAACGGACTTCTTCCAATATCATTACTGACACTATTTCTTCGGATGTAAAGATGAAAACTATACAGCATAATAATACTAACTTCATTTATATTGACAATAATGTCAATGAAAACCATCACAATGAGAAAGATCAGGATGAAAATAGTAGCAAAAGATATGCATTCTCTGACCTGTATAACCGACATACGCTCATAATCTAAATATTTTCTCTTCTTTTCCCTCAAAAATATCTTTACATTTATTGTAATGGTATAAAATGATAAGGCGCCATTGATATGCTAGTTTATTAACTTATATTTACATGTTTTATGAATATGAGCTAAACCAAACTATGTCTATCCATATTGAGGAGTGGGTGTATAGGGGCGTGGTGTGGCATCACCTTCGTAGGTGACATCGGCTACATAACCGGAGTCGCCGTTGACAGTGTAGGTGACCCTCTGAAGACGACCATCGGGAAGGAGGACGAAGTAGGAACCCTGAGTGTTAGGGCCATCTCGGGCCTCCTGATGACCGAAGTCGTTGCCAGATGTTGGGTCGTTTACGGCGTAGTTGAAGTCGTACTTGGCCGGCCCTGTTGAGGGTGTTGTGGCGCCATATCCATAGGACGGTGTGTTTTCAGGGCGGGCGAAGGCAACGGCCAAAAGGGCGGTGAGTATAATTGCCTACAGTATCGGGAAAGATTGAACACAATTGCTGAGAAACATAAAATGTCACGTATATCTTCTCTAACACAGAGACAATTGTGCAGATTTATTATATGTTTGAAACAAAAAGCGTATAATCACTATAACGTCTTAACCACATTAATCCACCTTTCTGCATCTCACCTGCAGTGTCATGTTGTATGATGATAGTAGAATGCTTGATGCAGTGAGAATGGTTTCATCTGTTTATATAGATGGAGCAAGTAAAGCTCCTCC